ACAAGAGCAACCACACATTCTTCTAGCCCTGCTGTTCGGTTATTGACTTGAGCGAGACGGGCACGAAAGCATCGCACAACGGGGGGGGGGGGGCAAGAACGAGGCATGCGCTGGAGCAAGTTTTCGTCCGCTTGCGTGGTAGCCGAGTGAAACAGCAGCAGCCAATGCCGTTGAGGCAGAGGCGGCATCCGAAGGTGGGACAGTTCCGTCGAGTGCAGCTGGATCGCGGAGAAGGGGCTGAGATGGGCTGAGTGATAAAGCCCCTGGCAGGAGAGCAGCGAAGCTGGTCCAAGAGGCGGTCGAGGTGTTATAACGTACGACGTTGCAGCTTGCAAAGGCGCGTCATTTCAGCCAAAAGATAGGCCGGGGGACCTCCCTCGAAATGATGCCGGTCGGGAAGCCGCAGGCAGAGGATCTTGTCCATGCTTGGTGCGCGGGAGAGCAAGACCAGGAGTGAGACCCCAGAGTTCACCCTGGAGGTGTGGGCCCCAACTGCTCCCCAAATGGCGAAAGCCCAAACCCCCCCTGCCCTCGGTACAGGCTTGACCTCCTTAAAGGTCATTCTATATTCTTGTTGCGAGCCTTCAACTATTGAACAATCCGTTGTGTTTCACCACGCAAGCAGTTTATGTTTCGCCCAGTCAATACCCGCCCATCCACTGGGCCCTGAAAGACTGAAAGACAAGTACAGTTTCCGATTTGTTCCAGGGCGCAAGGGTAGCCATGAAGTCACCAAAACCTCCAATCACGGAAGCACTGCTGGAGTTGCTCTACCTAAGCTTTGCTTAGCAATCCTGGTTCACCATCTTTCGGGTCCGAAAACACCCACGCTCTGACTCAAACTTCTCCCTTAGTTGAGTAGCAACCTTGTAGCCGTAAGTGGACAGGACGTTTAGCTCGAGACCTTCTTCACCACGAAGGTCTCGAAGGGATGCGAGGCAACACGGTACCGCAAGGGCCCACACAATTAGAATAGATTCTTAAATGAAGCCAGTGTCACCAGATAACATAACCTGTTGAGCCCATTGAATTTTCTTGGTAGGGGTGATATGTCAAGGGAATGTAGGAAATGTATGGAATGATTGAAAACGGTTATTCCCTAAGAACAAACAAGAAAATTGGTTTTCGGAAATAAGACAGCTTGAGCCGCTTTCCAAATGGCCATTCGCAGGTGTCATGAAGCAGAACAGAAATGCAAATGGTCTCTTCTCGGTCGTGGCTATATGCCGTCTTTCAAAGTAGGCCTCTTAGGGGTAGTGGTTTTGGGGTAGTGGAAACTGGAAACACTCCTGGATTTTTCACCTGTTTGTTGCTTTCGAGATCATCCTCTGAACAGTTGAAGCAGTCACTGTGTGTGGGTACCCTTTTTAGACAAATATGGGGGGAAACAAATCACACACACAATGTGCCAAATGACCCAACAACGGACATATGGCAAAGGTGATATTTAAGACCGCCAAAGCAAGCCTTGTTACAAATGGAAGCGCAGTGACAGGCGTCGAACTCCATAAATGAAACTGTTCGGCTTCCGTTAACATATAGATATACACACGTGAATGAAAATATATATGTGGATATATATATATATATATACATGTATATACAAACTATTAAAAAAATAAAACATAAATAACAATACATAAACAAAAATAAATAAAAATAAATAAACAAAAATAAACAAAATAAATAAATAAATATATAAGTACATAAATAAATAAATAATGAATAAAAGCAAATAAGTAAGTAAAATATGTATATCGATATATATATATATATAAACACTCAACTGCGCGCCTTTTGCTGCACCAGCAAGCAGGAAGTTGTCATATTGATGAAGAAAGCAAGTTCAGGTACTCTTCCCCAAATGCAATGGCCCCCTTGGCCAGCCCAACTGAGTTCATGCCACGCCGGAAAAGAGTGATGCCCACTCCGCGCCCCCCAGGTTGCTCCGCCAAACCAAAGCTAGCCTGACCCTCTTGCACAGCTGAACCTGGGAATGCCTATTTGTTGGCTTTCCGCATTGGGGTGGGTTGGGCACGGATCATCCACGAGCTCACCACCACAATGTTCTTCACAGGAATGTACACGGCAGTGCCTCGCTCTTGGTGCCATGGACAACACCTGTCAGGTGGACCTCGCTTCAAACTCGCAGCAAGGGTCATCTCCTCTTTCTAGTACGAACCACTGGTGATCAAGACCTTCTTGAGGCTCATGAGAGCATCCACGGACATGTCCTTGACGTCCAACTCGCCACCATCCTCATCCACTCTTCGCGCATCAACTGGTCGGCGTACAGGGTCGGCCCCAACACCTCCAGCACCTGCCGGTCTCCTCATCTCTCCTCCCGCAGCTGCGGGCCTCCGATGAACCCGGCTTTCGCCCGGGCTCGTGCCTTCCCCTTCGCTTTAGGCGGCATCTCGCCAATCACGGGGCAAGTGCTTCTCCCTATAGTTCGCCTGCTTGATCCTCTTAGTCACTCCTTTGTTCTTCCCAAACCACTTCGGCTGAGGACTGTGTGCGCCACGGGGTTCTTGGGGGTGGCCTTGGCCTCTCCCTTTTTACCTTCTCCAACTCAGTCTCCTCCTTCGGCAGCCCTGACTCCTCCAGGGGCGTCTCCTCTCTGCTCTTCTTCCGTGCTTCGCTCCTTGGCCTCGCACTCGGAGAGCGATCTGCCCTCCTCTTGTAGTCCTTCTGGTGGGACTTGCTCTTGCGGCTGTCCTTTCTCCTCTTCCTCTCCTTGTCCTTCTTTATCCTCTTCCGGCTCCGAGAACACTCCTCGCTCCTTTCAACCGAAAACCTCAGCTCTCTCCTCCTCCGGGGTCACGCAACTCTCCTCCTTGCTCTCCCTGACCTGGGAGGGCTATCCACCGATGCCCAGAGCCGCGGATGCTTCGGCCAACCCAATGATGACGTCCTGGATTTCCCCCAACACCTGCCTAAGCCGCTGCACGAGCGCCTCCTCCCAGCACAAAGGCAGGTTCTTGTCCTTGATCAGGATCCCGATCCTCACGTAGGCCCTGCACACCTTGCACCAGGACCCCTGAGGTGGTCCCCACTTACCTCGACACTCAACGCAGACAGGAGGGTTTTTCATGCAAGGAGACACTTCCCCCCGAGAAAAGAGCCAAAGCTACTGAATTTTAAAAAATGCGCAGTTTCTTGTTTAAATACGAGGCGGTAATACCATATATATATATATATATATCATGTAACCGCGATGACCCAAATCGCCTGGACAGAATCAGAGTGACATGTTCAGGGGAGGAACACCTCAATTCCATTGACCAAACTTAAGCCCGCCGCGCCATGAAGGCTCAGCCTAAGCTGGAGACCGCATGTCCAGCGCCAACACCGAGACTCGTTTTGGGCTGAGGCGGTTGAAGCTAAGCAAGGCTTACTGCAAATTCCGAAACTGGAAGTAAACCCGGTAGAGGACCGGACGCATGGATGAGCTCGTTTTACCCCCAGGTGAGCTTATTATAATTCTCAAAAAGAGATGTTCTCTTTGAGGGAGGTGTGCTTGCCGCAGTTCCTGTACCTGCTTTGGGTGCAGGGGGTGCACCTTTGTGCAAGACATCGTGGCCTTTTTTGGACCATATACCTAATGGACACCCAGGCAGGATTCTTCAACTCGCTGAGTAACATAATTTCCCATTTTGGAGGCAGTCTACCGCACATCACTTTTGGGTTGATCCACCAGGTCAAGTTTCCCAACAACAAGCATGACCAAAGGATGTTGTATCAAACATGTGCATAGCCGGTGTGCACATGTAGGAACAGCTGACCCAAGACACCAAACCGGGCCGAGTGCTCTTGCTGAGTAGGATTTCCTTTTGAAGAAACCTCGCCATGGCCCGATCAGAGGTCAACCATACTTGGAGCCCACTTAGTTAGCTAAGGTGGTTATGACCATGGCAATAATTGAACTACTGCCCTTCACCCTACGAGCCAGGGTTGCAACCTACTAAGTTTAACATCCAATGGACACCCTTTTTCTGTTGTTTGAAGGAGCTTTCGTGGGGAAAAAAGACATCCTCCAGCACCCGCGTCCCAACCACTGCTTTTTGGCTACTGTACCAAGGGGAGTTTGGACAGTTGCAAGTTGGGGGGGGGCTGGCTTGTTTGTTTGGTTGATATGGTTGATATTGAATGGAACAGGTTGAACGCGAACGACAAACAAAACATCTGGGACCTATCGAGAATGGTGCCGAGACTCGGCTGGTGAAACAAAATTCATATCTCCTCCAAACGGCTTTGCCCTGAGAGACTAAACGAGAAGGACTCAGAAAGGCATGGAACAACTGCCGGCCGCAGATCCAGGTTGCTCCAAAGACCTCACACCCAACCCCCCCAAGTAGCCAGACGGGTTGACCTCATTTGACGTGATCAGGAAGAAACATAACAACCCCGGTTGAAAGGGAAACAAAAGAAAACATGTTCATGACGGATGGTCCACCTTTTGCTTGGATCATGGTAGAACGGTTCGAATCGAGAAACCCCCAAGACAACACCCACAAAACACCCCGAGCATCGTGGGAATACGGGGCGTGTTTGAGGTCCAAAACCTGGGTCCAACACTGCTTGCCAGAAAAGGTCCTGTGGGCCAGATAAAAGAACATCATATCAGAACCAAATCTCACCAAACAAAAAAAGGAGAATCCCCACGCCAGAATCCCAAGAGAGCAAATGGAACCTCGAAGGCCGGGCGTTTCTGGGGACCCCCGCCTGGCACAGGACGAGGCGAGCAAGCAAAGCTGCCAGGGGGCGAACCTGGCCATTTCTGGCAGAGCCCTGACCGAAAAACGGGAAAAGGCCCCTGAACTTCAAACCATCTTCTTCCACACGGCGGGGATCGATCCGCGCCACATGCTGTTCGAAAACAATTTTCTTTTTCTGGGGCTACTTGAGCTCCAACCTTGAAAGAATTTCAACCATGAAAACAACGGTGGTTCTCCCAAGGATTGTGATCTTCCCACACATTGGGTCAACCATTCTTTTGATGGGCTGAACCCAAGGGAGACTTGGCGGTGTGTTCCCGTAAAGTGTTACTTTGTGGATATGGGGTTGTTACCCTCCCGCCGAACATGAAAGTGCACAAACTGTAGTTAAAGACAACGATTTTCGTAATGGAAAGCGGCTTTGTGCAATTCCAGGTTCGTTTGTGGGAGAGGAAAACAAAAAATAACCACCATTGTCGCTTACCCAAGGACTGTCATCAGCCTCGGGAACTTGATAGCTTGATCCCTGAACATGTCAGCTAGGAATCTGGGATTGTCTTCAAATAGGGGGTGCCCCCAGAACGGGTCCTTTGCCTTTCAAAATAAGACGCCAGGTGTCATAAATCAATCAGACCTGCAGGACCCATTGATACACAAATGTTTGCTCGAGCTTTCGTGGCATATAAGTGCGCGAGAAATGGCAAATGCAAACACATGCAAACGCACAGATTGCGGGGCGGAGCCTTGGCTTTGCACACTTCTTGGAATTGCGCCCGAGTTGCGGAAAATTACGCCTGCGGGTTCGTTTTCTCTCGAGCACTTCACCAAGCATCTAGGCAACCTCCAAAATTGCTCAAATTGGATTTGAGCAGAAAAAAGCGCTCGAATGCCAAAAAACTGTCCGGAGCACTGTTTTGTGTATCAAAGGGTCCTCCAGGAAACTCTAAAAGTCTAAAACTGCAGAGGGTATGGCTAGGAAACGGCAAGGTCAGTGCTTGAACATCGTTGGCAACATTGAATGCTCTTCTCAGAATTCAAAGGTGCTGCAGGACACGTCGCAAACCGAGACAGGCGTTGACAACTACAAAAAGAAACATGTTCAGCACCTTCCCCTGAAACCCAAAGGCTCCAAATAAACCTGAACTGTGGCAACTAGCAGGTTGAAACTTACTCAATCTCCCTCCATGAGCTGGATGGGCGTCATCACGATTTCCAGTCAAAATAGGTCAAGTGCAAACTCATCCACTGACATGGCTGTGGGTCAGATGTTCTTTTCGCAGTCAGAGCAGGAATGCATAGATACCTCTTGAGCATTCTTGCGACAGGCCCAGCACTTTGTTTTCAAGAGCTGGCAATTCCGACAATCTCCATCATCACCTTTGCACAGCTGGCAGAACTTACGCCTGCAAGTAACACAAGTGAAACTCGCATCCGGGTGTCTTCGATCGTTCGGGTTGTCCTGAGCGCATACTCTCGAGAGATCAGGTCCATCGCCACCTGGCGCAATGCCAGTAGCTGGGTTCCTTCGGCCATCTCCAGGACTTGGGACGTCACCTCGTGCCCTGTTGCCTTGGATATCCCCTTGTTGGCAATTGGGGTTTCAAGGGGCACTACCGCTATTGCGGATTGGTCTCTCGTCTCCCCTACTCCTGGCCTCACTATCGGCAGCCCTTGGACTCCTGTTCCTACCATCATCCCTGTTTGGGGACACTGAAATCGAACTATCAGCCCTGACACGTGCCCGTGGATGATCCCTAATACGCCTCGGCGGAGAGTAAGACCTATCCCTGCATCTGCAGAGCCCTTCTGCTTCGGCTATCCTCCCTCTCCCTAACCGGAGAGATAGGACGTCTGTCCTACCGGGCACACTCGGCAAGCTCGAACCCCTGTTGACCTGGGGTTGATCACCTACATTGTCTCTCCTACTGTCCCCGAAGACATGATCAGTTATACTAACGCCCCCACCCGGTCGGGCAGGCGGGACAGGATTCTGAGCATTTCGATCCCCAGGGTTAGGCGTCGGAGACCTAATCCTGTGCCCTTGTCCAGCGAAAGCGTTGTACCCGACGTTTGGTCTGCCGAGAGGTCCACGAGGATTTTGCTGAGCAACCTGAATCATATCGGCCGCATCATCGACATGTCCCTCAATCTCGGCAAGCTGCCCCACAACTCGGGTATTCATCTCATTCAGGACACGGATGTTGCCTTCGACGGTGTTAATCCTTCGCATAGTTGCATCTAGCATGTTGCGATAGTAGACAAGCTCCCGTCTAACGGTGTCTTGTGTCTGTTCCGTGCTTGAAGGAAGATTGGCAAGCTGAGTCCTTATAGCTTGCACAGCCTGTTGAAGCCTTCGTGCATTCTCATCGACCGCAGCGACACGGGCGTTCGCGGTCTCGACTTTCTCCACAACGAGATCGTGGTTCCGACCTTGGCGATAGAACCCACGGGTAAGATCCTGAACCTTCCGGTTGATCTCCTCGATCGCCTCACGCAATCCTGGGGGTCATCAGGGTTCCTAGGCCTATCGGCAACGATGGATCCCCTGTCGCCCCGCGATTCCATGCGATCAGCGAAAGTCCTGTACTCATCCTGGAGATCGCCAATGGCCCGTGTAGCCCATTCAGCATGCCGGCCATTCTCACCTTGGAGTTCTATCGACCCTCGAGTGGCCCTATCGGGCCCCGATGCAGCCTGAGCACCAGAAGATGTGGTCAGCCTAACGGCCTTCTCTATCGAATAAAGTCGCTTCTCGAACTTCTCAATCTCGGTATTGGTTTGGTCCTCAAAGGCAGCTTGGCTTCTGAACATAGCATGATGCTTATCCTGAATAACCTGATGAAGCTGACTTATGCCACCCTCTACTTCCCTAACGGATTCCCGGACTTCGTTGGAGAGTGAGTTGATCCTCTGATCCACGACCTCGCTCTGCTCATCAACAGCATGTCTAACGACTGCTCTGTTGTCAGGAATGATCTCACCGGCAAACCGTTGAACTATCATTCGCATCCGATCAGCATCCGCCTGGGTTGCAACCTCGGTAGCCAAGCGACTAACCTTGTCTTTCATCTGCTGATTATCATCATGCCATTCCCTACGCATGGAACTCACCTGGCCGTTCAGTAACCTGATCTGATTAGCAAAAGCATTGAGAGTGTTCACAACAGAGCTAGAGGCCTCGCCTCGCTCGAGCATCTCCTGGATGTGCAAATCAAATACTTCCTTAACTCTAGTATCACCGGATTCCGCAGAAGAATGAGATCTGAGGGCCGGAGGGGTCGATATCTCGATCCTCTCAGGAACCCTTTCAACTCTGGCGCGCCCCCTTGGGGTCGGAGACAGGATCTTCAGTGATCCTGAGCAGTGCACGACTGCCTCGAGCGGTGCTCGCGGTGTCACGCGAGTCATGAACGCGCTGGCCGTGGAGCGCCGCCTCCCCCTCCCGGAGGAGGAGGTGGTCCTGAGGGACCAACAGGCCACGATGGGAGCGGATGTGGTGGTCATGGATCAATTCCGCGCCCACCCCAGGGCCCGGACCTGTGGGGGACAAGGGTCCACTGGACATCCTGGTGGCTCAGCTGGAGGTGGCGGAGCGCCTCCCGGGGGATACCCTGGGGGAGGACGCCCACATTTAGCGGCGCCATTGCAGACTCTCACGGAGCTGGGAGCAATCAATGTGGTTCCAGTTTCTATGGTCCGGCCTACGGGGGTGGTGTTAATCACCAAGGCATTGGTGTTGGCGGTAGCCACACCAAAATCAAGCCATAGGTTCTGCCCCATGGCCACATGGGAAATGAATTCGGGCTCTGGGTGCCGGGCTCATCTATTCTTCGGATCGCCTGGCACTCCAGTTCCTCCACCACGCATTGAACCTCGCTGCTCGGGGGTTGCTCTGAGTTCCGGATCCGGGGTCAAACTTTCTCGCATGGCTTTTTTAGCGCCAGTTCAACACGGATCGACAAAAAAAGAGAAAATGGTGAACACCATGACACCAGGACCTGTGTTTGATGTGTTTCTTTTGCCACTGGCGCCCGAGCAAGCTGAATGCCTCCGAACACGAATGATAATCTCGTTTCGGGCGATCTCCGCAAATGGGCGTGTCTCTTTTTAGGGGCCCCTCAAATTGACGGATCTCCTGTTGGTTTCTATTTCAAACCACATTTTGGCGGTACCAACTCCAAAAACACAGACCCAAAACTTGGTTTCCACTGAGCAGGTAAGCAACTGTCCTTTCAGTGGGGTGGCTCGCTTGGTTGGCTCAGTCCCACCCATTAAACAAGGGAATCCCTCCCATAATTTTGTGCAATAATCCATTATTCAAGGTATTTTGAGTCCAAGTACTATTGTGGGGAGCCGTAGGGGAGGGAGTTCTATTCTTAAACAGCTCAATCGAGCATGTCTGGTTGTCTACTGGAGTATCAATCGGGTTTGGCTCAAAAAATGGCGTCCAAAGTGGCACCTTAGTAAACCCATGTCTTCCCTGGGCACTTGTTTTTTGTAGTTTTCCGTTTCGAGCAAACAAACTGCTCAGTTCACGGAGAAAAAAAACACCGCTCAATTGCAAAAAGGTTCTGGTGTTTGGTGCCAGTTTCCGCTCATGTCCCGCTGATTTTCGCTCATTTGCCGCCGATGTCTACTCATTTCACTTTCTCCCGCTGAGAATCTGAAACGAGCAACAAAATGCCTAGAGCCCCCAAAAGCGACCAAATGGAAGACCTAGGAATTGCAAGACTAAAACCTGCATAACCCTAATGTCGACCTATGATTAAAAAACATCCCCCGATTAAAGTTATGTTGTGGGCCGGCACTGATTAATTACCCCCCCCCCCCGCGCGAAATAAAGTTATGTTGAGGGAATCCACACACACACACGCACAAAAACACACACACACACACACCCGCTAGCATCATCTCAACCCTTGTCTGATTGGTTAGTATCTGTCTCGCCTGCCTTAAAATATCAGATCTACAAAAAATACTAGCCCCCAACTGCAAATTATCTACATACTCTTGTTGGAAAAGTGGCCCCGAATCAACCCTACAAGGGGGGTAGTACTTGGGGGTTGAAAAAACTTTACTTAGAGGCCCCCCCTAAATAAAGATTCCTGGTTCCCCCCCCAAAAAAAAACAAAAAAAAACTCGTGTTTGAAAAGGCTTTCTTGGTCAAAGGCTGAATCTTTAAAATATTTCCCTTGAAACTTGCTCCCTATGACATCCAATCATCTAGCTTTTGCAATCCCAACAAAATCCCAGCTCCCAAACTGCAAATTCTTTACATACTCTTGTTTTAAAAGTAGCCCCGAATCAACCCCACAAGGGGGGTAGTACTTGGGGATTGAAAAAAACCTTGTTTAGGGCCCCCCCCAATAAAGATTCCTGGTTGCCCCCCCCCCAAAAAAAAAGAGACTGTCACCAGCAATACTAAATCAATTGGAATCCCACCAAGTCAAAACTCAAAAGGAGGCTCCAGCAATACTAAACCCGTTGAAACTCAAATCCCTCAGCAATACTAAACCAATTGGAAACTCAAATCCCTCAAGTCAAGTATCAAAAGGAGGCTCCAGCAATACGAAATCAATTGAAAACTCAAGTCCACCAATACTAAACCAATTGGAAAACCGAATCCAACCTCAAAAGGAGGCTCCAGCAATACTAAATCAATTGAAACACAACAAATTTGTGAGCAATACTTAGCAATTCGTAATCAAGTTGCAAGAACTATTTGGGGAGGGAAGTTGTTTGAGGGAGGGGGGTGTTTATTAATCAGAGGTAGACATTAGCTCTTCCGGTTTTGAGCCATACCCCTCGAGTGGCAAATCATGCCCTGGGGATCCTGCATAGCAGCGCCGGCTGGCATAGGCGTCCAGGAGCTGACAGATCTCAGCCGCATTGCAGGAAGACCTCGGGATGGGTACCGCCTGAAGGGGACCCCCCAACCACCCCCTCAACACACCTCACTTCCGAACGAGTAGGCCAAAACAAGTCCAATCCAATTTAGTTGGCCACTAAAATGGTCCAAACCCAAAAAAAGAGCTTAAAGTCCAGCAACTCGGGAAGTGAGACACACACCCTTGGGAAAGAATACCATCGACCATTGTTGGAGGTGTGTTTGCGGGATGTGGTGTGTTTGGAGGGTTCCAAACGGAAAAGCTCCATGAACATGGGACCTCCAAGTGGGGGAAAGAGACCTTTTCCAAAAAAATAACAGACAATGGTCTTCTTGGCCTTCAACTTCTCCGTTGCTTTTTGGGAGGGTTCCTCAAATCAAGCCATACTCCCCTCCAATTAGAGGCGTGCCAGAAAAAGGCCGGGGGTCGAAGCCAACCCCTCGCTCGCTCGCGCGTGGCTCGGCTCGCTTTGGCTCCCCGCGCGGTGGCGAGGACCTGGGGCGCCATGGCCAACAGCAGATCCTCGTGGAGGAACAGCAGCTCACCGAAGCTCTGGCCTAAACCCGGATGCTCGAAGAAAATCTGAGAAACAATCGCCGGTGAAACGGGGTCAACAAAAATATGAAGAGGACCATCGTTTTGTTATTTGGTTTTGCTTTGGACCCCCCCAAAAAAAAGCTGCCCAATGAGGAAACAACGAGGTATGTGTTAGCGGCATCTTGGGGTCCTGTCGGTTGGGGCCGAGCAAAATCTTGGGGTTTTGTTGGATCTCAGAAATCCTATTGGTTTCCCCCAAAAAAACATGGTGCAAAGGGAACGGTAAAGCACACAAAACCAAAGTGGTTGCATGAAAACAGGAACAACACATGAAATATCAGTACCCGTTCTCCGTTGGTTTCCTTTTGGACAAAATAAGAATTAGGGACTTCTTCGTACCTAGTTTAGAGTTGACTTTACAAAGACTTCCATACAGAGCTACTCACTTCCTGAGTGGATTGGCAAACAACACTGTCTAAGCTTGATGTTTACTACTAAAACGGACTTCGAAAACCATAGCATATAGGTGACACCAAACTTAAAAGCGGTAGAGAGCGAGTCCTGCCACTCTTCTCTCTTTGGTGGTCGATTGCAAAGGGGAAGCCTTTCCAAAAAAATAATCTTAGACTGCCATTGCGAAGACAAGAACTCATCCTCTTTGAGAGTTAATCACGGCATCTGGCAAGATCTCACTTGGAGCATGGGTTAAACCGGTTCAAACAATGGGTCAAATGCAGGGCCCATCTAAACATCGGAGGGTAAGCCTGAGTCACACTGCTTCGCCAACCTGCAGACTGCTTGGCAAGGAACCGCAGGACCGAGCTTCCAGGGTACATCGTGCTGAGAGACTGACCAAACATGGGCCAAGTGGAAACCAAGAAGTCGCTTCGCTGCGCGCCAAGAGAAGCAAAAGCGGCGTTGGAGACTAACTCGCCCCAAACTGTTCAGGCGGAAATAGCCTCTTCGCAAGCAACAACTGCACGAGAGGTGTACATGGCACAGCATTGCCACCCCCCTCCCCCCGACCCGCTTAAATTATGGTCAAACAAGTACACCCCGCCTCTGTGGTGTGGTCCAGGGGTTGGATTTTGGTGGTTCGGTGGGGCCCATTCCCCATTCTCGTGTGGTTTTGAACATGGAGGTGGAGGGAATACCTTTCAGTGACACCGAAATGGGCCATTTTTGGGGTTGCCTCCCTTATCACAAGTGGCCAGAATGTCAAGTCCAAAACACCTCCGGAGCTTGTGATACGCAGCCGGGATCAGTTTGCAGAATACAACAAGAAGCCTCAGAAAGTGGCCTAGAAACCCATCCCCCTTGGAGCTTGGACAGGCTGCAAGGAGGCTTGCACATGTCAGGACCTCAAAATGGGATGTAACGGGTTCGTGTTTCCCTTTTTCAGACCATAAAAGGGCGGTTTGGAGCCCGGTGGTTTGGATGTTAGGGGTACCTTCTTTATTTGACTTGGGAACCGGAGTTCAAACCGGAAAACCAATCCAAACCACTTGAGGGGAAACTGAACTCAGGCAACCCTTTGGTGATTTGGTGGCTTGAAGCCCTGACTCCCGTAGCAAGGGGACACTCCCGGAAGTAGCTCCGAACCGCCGGGCTCCCTGCAAAGAGCCGCCAGCTCCGGGGCGGTCCACGCGTCCAGCGTCCTGCGGGCTCTGCGAAAAAAAGAAGGAGGCGTGAAGAAAATCTGCCGCGCGCCTGAAAACCCATGAAACTGTCCAGGTTTGGAAACAAACCTGAGGATGTTTGGCAGAACTGGAGTGGGGTGTTCAAAGCCGCACGATAGTTTATCAAGCAAACACACGAGCGCCGGGACGAAACAATCCAAGGTTGTGATGACGTGCTTGCGAGCGCTTCGCTTGGTACAACATCGCCTGCCCCGGCGGTGTGTTACGATTCTGCTCGTGTCCCCCTCCAAGCAAAAAGGCACCGCCAGCTGTCTGGCTCTCACAAGCTGCTGGACGACACGATTACAAAGGTGCTATTCCCATGATAAACCCAAGAGGTTCAGGCTGATTGCAGCCATGCGCGACACATACGAGTCTGTCCCAAATTGGGGACGTGCTTTTGGATGCTGTTTAGGCGCAAACCAAACGAGAACTCGTTTGTAAGTGGCCCTTTTTGAGGACACACACATAAAATGTCCACCTCCCGTTAGTAAAGCCCCCCTGCCCCCTAGTGATTAATTTCTCCAAAAAACTGTTGAAAGTGATATGGACTGAGTCTAAACATACAAACGGGCTGGGGAAGGGGGTCAAGCTTATTCAGGGCATTTCATTGTTTTGTTTGGGGGTTAGCTTTATTCAAGGTCCGAGTGCCAGTCATAGGTGGACACTACACAAGCAAATAACTCTCATGCAAGCTAGCGAATGTGTTGCCCACACCAAAAGTCCACCATATTTGGGAACGCCTTGAGAGATCAACAAAAACCCGACCACGAACGGCTGCCATCTCCAGTCTCAACATATCTCAGGAAAAGACACCCACCGGAAGGAGTACTCTGATCAAGACATCACACACACACACATACACACCTGGGCAAAAACTACAACAACTCCTTTCGGCCCGAGGGAGATATGTATGTATGGGTATGGGTGTGTCTTCTCTCGGCGTCCCGTTTTGGTGGTTTTGAAGAGAAACCAAAAGGAACACCATTTTTGATGGGTCCTTTAACAGAGACACACCTATACAACCGGAATAACTCCCTGCCCTTAGGTATTGTCCCACAATTGGACTCCTTAAGCCTCAGCGGGCATGAAAAGAGCACTGTCAAAGTGGTATCCTCTCATTGCTCTGCTCATCGAACTGCTTGTTTGCTCTTTAAGGCCGGCCAAATATGGTGATTTAAATTCATGTCGAAATCGGTCGAAACGGGGGAAAAACTGAGCTGTCCTCAGATCCCCTGCTAAGAGTTTAGACCTGTAGTGGCTGAAAAATCCAACACCCAGCCACCAAAACCAACTAAAAAGCTTACAACCTACGGAACCGGATGGAACCCTAAAAAGATTCAAACACCTTTCTGGCACCGGATGAATCGCTGGTTGCGGTCCTATGCACCGTGGCCTTCAGCAACTGGAAGAGCCAATTGTGCCTCCTTACTCGCCAAGAGGTTGGGAGTTCAAGACCTCAAGGAACCGCAACTCAACTCCTTGAGTGGATTGGCCAAGTCTAAGCTTTTTGTTTGCCGCTAAAATGATGTCAAAGCCCAAAACGTATTAAGGTGCAGGAACTCTAAGTGAGTAAAGCTGGTAAATAATATGTTGTGGATAATATGTTGCTGAAGTGAGGCACATGTATCCCAGGCGTCCTGGTCTTAAGAGACAAAGCTTCTTTTGCAAGGACTCTTGCTGTGACTTTAACGGGAAACCATGGGACAGCTTTGTTTTTTTTGGGGAGACACAGCCCTGGGTTTTGCAGGGAGCCATCCCTTCCGCTAAAATCTTCTCTTTTAACCGGTGCTCAAAGCAGCCACCAATTGAAAAGGGGTCTGAGATGTTGTCAGCTATGAAACCTGGCATTTTTCTCCGAGCGCCTGCAAAAAGTGAAACATACCAAGGACACCCAAAGAGGCAACACAACAAACAGGGTCATGCCAAGTCTGGCAATGGTTGTCTACCCTAAGGATTGCCCCTTCTTTTTCTGGGCGGCGGGCTTGGGCAGCGGCTTGCTGGTTAACCGAAAACAAAAAGTAAGCCTTCGGATTGGCGAACGAACAGGCCATGTCCTCGGAACTGCTTCCGAGGCTCTTTCTGATCAGCGCAAAGTTCTGGAGGATCATCAGCACATCCTGTCATTCGGGCCCCATCTTGCCACTGATCTTGCAAGAGAAGGCACCTGTGGAGGGTACCTGGAAGATCAAGTTGACTCTTGACGGGACTCCCTCAGATCTCAGATGCTATCTTTGTGGGAGGGAGGATAGTCATCTCTGCGAATGGGTGTCGTTTTTTGTTGAGTGGGCCTGCTTTCAAGGAACCACCAACGGTAACCAGTTCTTTCTTGGGGTGTTTTTTATTTGGCGACCCACATGGACGAAATCCAAACATGGAATAGCCAAGCCATATTCTTCTTGCCCCAGACCGTCTTGGTTCTGGTTTCCATACCTCTGAGAGACCAGAAAGACTTGGGTCCCATTCCCTCAGGCATCCCTCGGAAGCTGACAAAAGTAAATGGGTCTTTTAGGGGGTCGTTGTCCTGTTGGTTGGTTTCCAATTGAAACCACCCAAAAAAGGGAAAACACAAGAGGCACACCCAAATGAAAGGCCTCCAGCCAGCAGGGGAAGGGAAGTCTAAGGAAATCACACAGTGCTTCGACGGGTTTCTCAGGATTCCAGAGATCGCTTGTTTTTGGCGCGCGGGCGGGCTTTCCCACATCACGTTGGAGAAAGGAATCAGCGGGGCGGGAAGCCGAGGAAGTCTTTAACCACCCATCTCCTCTGGACTTAGGCCCGACAACGCCTGTCTTTTTTGCCCTGCAGCGATGGGGATACGGGAAGAAGCACAAATGGTACGAAGACGTACGCAATGTTGACCCAATAATTATCAACCCCAGTTGCCCAATTGGGAGGTGTTTTTCTCCGAAAGTGATGATTCCAGGCTGAACCCAGGGACACCCCCCTATTGATAAACCGGGGACAATTAATATGGGGTCAACATTGCTTCATTTTGAAGGGAACCCCCGTCCCCCAAACCAAAGGAAAGGAAGCGACCCGAAGGTCTGGTCAACAACCGGATCCCATGAGAGGTGTCCTCCGAAAAGCAGTATGGCATCCTCTGAAATTACCAAACCGAAAGTGAAAATGATCTCCAGCGCAAAACCTGGAACCTCAAAGAGAAGCCGTGAGGATTTTGAGGCAGGGGGAGGTTGGTTTCACCGTTTCACCGGTTGCGTCGGATCGATGCGAGATCCGCATCTTGTCTCCTCCTTCTCTGTGGCGAGAGCCATCGACGGCATGTCCTTGAACTTGCCCCAGAAGTCCTGGACATCGTTGGTGGATACCCATGAAGCCTGACTCAGGGGCCAAGATGATTTTCCTCCATAGAAAGGAACCATCAGCCAGGTTCCACGTTGACAGGAGGTACACATTTGGCTGTGGCTCAAAAAACCGGTACCAAATTGGAACCCTGGCAAGTGGAAACATGGACCAAAACCTGCGTAACCCCTCCTCTTTAATTTTGAGCCACACCCATTTGAACCCATGGCCCCATTGAAATGACTTCAGCTTTCAGAAGCTTACACCCCTTCCCACACAAAACCGAGGTAGGCAATCTTTTTTGGGGGGAGCGAAACCCCGTTACGCTCAAAAAACCTTCTTTCTTCGGGGGTGCCCTTTTCGCGGTTAAGCCTTTTCTTTGGGGGGACCTCTTTTAGTTGGATTCAAAGGGAAACCAATGGGCAACCGGCCTCGTTGGGCCCTACGGGTCTGAAAGATTCTGAAAGTAGAGTACCTGCAGTAGCTGGGCCTGGGTCATTCCCATTTCTCCCCTAGTCGAGTTTATGAAAACTGGCCGTCTGAGTCTGTTTCCCGAAGACCATCTCTCGCGCCAGGGTGATTTTACCATCAGCAGGGGTTCGCAGAGTGATTTCCCACAGTCGGAAAGCTTTCCGAGTGGAGAGAAACAAATGGGTGTGGCCCTTTTGGGGGGCAACCCCGTTTTTGGCAACTCAAAGGAAACGCAAAGGATCTCCGAAGCCCATTTGAGGGGTACCTGACAAAAAAAGAAAGACCGGCGGAATGATCGAACCCAGGCATCCAATGATCGTGGCGGCAATAACTGCAAGGACCAGTATGTGAAAAGCGAAGAAGACAGGGCCCAACTTGAAAGAGGTTCTTCGAACTGGAGGGAGGGGCCACTCTACAACCCTTGGTTTGGGCTTGCAAAAAAGCGTATTATTTTTTTTCACCCTCCGCCCTCAAAAAAAAAGGGACCTAAAAAACATGCCAACAACAGTGAAGACAAGGGACACATAAAAAAGGAAAAATGCAATATTCACCAAGGTGACCAAGGGGCATGGCAAAGTGTGCCAAATCAGCCTCCAGTCAATCAACCGAGTTGTGGAAACTAGTAAGGTTGACACCCCCCGGATTTCTGTTGACCCCCCAGCTATTCATAAGGCTTCCCGGTCCCCCTAGAAGAGAGGACTGTCCCCACCAAAAAGGGACCCACCTTAACAAGCGCGGTGTTTACTACTCAGAGGCCAGCATTATCAGCCGCAAGGACTAAGGATTGATATCGAACCAAGCGCCCAACGGTTTTCTCGTTTTTTCCCGACTGATTTGGATTTCAAGCGCCAACCCTGGCAGCGGTTTGTTTGCGCCTCGTTCAGTTGCAGCAGCTCTTCGAATTCCTCGATCTGCGACCTCGGAGCACCCCCAACCCGTCACCAGTTGGGGGCGGGGGTACCCCAAAAACACTTCAGCTAGGTGTCACATGCCTTCTTCTCCCTTGGGGGTACTGAGTTACTGGTTTGGTAGAAGCAACCTTATTGGAGTCATGGTCCCTGGAATGACTGATGTACTTCGTTTGATCCCTGGCGAAGAGTTGAACTCCAAACATGCAACAACCTACCAGTGTGGCTGGGTAAGTGACCAGAGTCCATACCCGATGTGCTACCAGAAACCCACAGAAACGAACCCCAAACACCCCAAAACCGCAACCTGCAAAACCAATCGAGAACCACGCAAACAGCGATACCCCGGCAATACGTCTGTTTCTCATGTGGCTTTATTTTAGTGGACCCCATCAAAACCAGCAACTGTTTTCCTTGTGGTGTTCCTTTAAAACCACAAATCAGGGGTAGCAACTCCAACAAAAGACACCACCAGATCACTGTACGACATGGTCGCGGAAACCGTTTGCTTGTTTCTCGGCCAAGTTGAGTGATACCCATGCCTGCAACTCTGTCATAGCCATATAGAACCCATAACAATCTATGGGCCAAAAGTCAGGCTCTGGATCCGACTTGCCGAAGGATTGCTTGGTCCAGCTTACCCATTGGTGGTTTGGACGAATAGAGGCTCCTTCCCCATGTTTGACAAGGTACTGTGGAAGGGACAAAGAGACCAAACCCGCCATTCCAAACCAGGGACTGAGCACTGAGGGCAGCCTGACGGAGAGGTCTGGGAACCTGGGGATCCAAATAGTTTTAGAAAGAAGTAGGCCTTTTTCCACAGCCCCTTTTTTTCAAGGGTACCCCTTTCTTGGTGGTGTGCAAAAAAACAAAAAAAAACAGGAAACCCACCCATTTTGGGAGGTCCAAACCTGAAAATAGACGCGCGCCCAATTTTAAAGCACGAGCGGTCCGACCGGGGTCCCCGCCCAGGCTCCTGGAAAACCCGCCGGGTTTTCCCCGGATGGATTCTTGGCTCAGTTGACCAGGATGTGACCCAGAAATAAAAGGCCATCAGCATTTGGGACCTTGACTAAGGCACCAGGGGAACCAAAAGGTCAGATCTGGTCGATTCGCTTTGGGCAACAGTTGGGAAAAGCCCGATTCCCAACTGCAAGAATGGACCGACCCCTACCATTTTTTTGGGACAAGCCATTGACAATTCCCAACCGGCGCGGAGCGAGATATGTCCCATCAGCATCAGCTGTTTCATTGTTCCCTGAGGTCCCTGCTTGGAAGCAAGCTTAGATACCCCCCGCTCCGAGTCCGGCTCCCTTCCAACCAACAGGTGGTGTAGGTCCTAGGCTTCATTGCACCTCAACTCCCGCAGGCCTCCCGTGGCAGCGGGACCGTCTCAGGACATCCTCGGAAGAGCAAAGCAAGCGACCCAGAGTGGGGCTCCCCAAATTTGGAGCCCAATCGGTTCCAACCCATGTGTTCAACAGTGCCCACAGTATTGTTTCCTGGTTTGGCTGGAATTAGTCACCACTCACAAGGGAAAACCAATGTTTCAAATGTCAAGTGCTTTGGCATTGAGCAACTCAGGTAGTTGGATTCTAGCGATATGTTTTATCTGCCTGCTCAGACCCAAACGCAAACGGAGCACATTTTGTGAACCCGCACGTCACGAAAAGGCCTGCGACCACAAACAAGAGGTACCATCAAAAAAAAACACCCCCATATGTAGTAAACCTTAACCTGCAAAACGATGATAGTTATAGAAGATTGCAGGTCAACAGGAAGAGGAACCCGAGCTTTTACCGAACCACTTCCGAATCCTTGCACCACCCTGGGCTCCCAGGCTCGCAACTTCCTGCGGTTGCGCTCAGCTCCCAATGTTGAGCTCTTCGCTGGTTGAAAGGAAACAAAACGGAGAACCCAAAAGGCACCAGCACCCAGCCGCTGCTTTTCCCCATGTCCAAGATCCCAAGTACAAGTACTGTCAACCAAAGTCTGGAATAATCCTGTCAGAACTTGGCTCGCTCCAAGCTAAAACAGTCAGTATCAGTCAGTTAAGTCTGGCAGTGGGAATAGAGAGCGCATCTCGCCCCAGAAGCTACTGTGGATGGGCACAATCCATTTTGTACGTACCAATGGATGAAACCCTACTGGAATGAACCTCCTACCAGGAGCGGATCTTAAACATTTTTGCGGCTATCCGCTTCGGGTGGCTTGCAAGGGAAACACATTTTGGACTACCGCTTCTCATTTTAAACAAATTCACCCCAGCCCGAGTTCCCAAACGATTCTTCTCCAAGATTTTGCGATCGCACTGGTACCAATACAAAGACATCTTGCTAGGGCATGGCCATTCGACATGTTCGCCTTTTGGAACTGGAAGTTGGAGACGAGGCAAACTGTGGACTCCACAGCACCGCCACCTTTTGGTTGCGTATGGCAACTTGCAGCCCAAGTTGACTTGCTGAGCTTAAAGTTTCTGGCCCTGACTATGAAGACACCAGGCAACAACAATAAAACCAGTTTGGCAACTGCACAGGTACTGTAGCAAAGAATTCCCACCCCATAGCGATTTGATGTTCCAGGAATCAGGTCCATTCGGCCATGTTTTTGGGATGGAGCCCTCACGTTGCCATCGCGTGGAGCTCCTCCCAAAGTTCAATTCGGAAGAGGAAGCCATCAAACCTTGAATTGGACGTCTCGGAAGCGGCAATCGACAGGGCTTGAGTTGAGAAGTCTGGAATTTCAAGTAGGATGTGTCTCCAAATGTGCTTGCTTTCTTTCAAAATGCAACATTCTCACTTGCCCAAAAAAGACCCACTAAAGGGCTTACCTTTTGGGGATAGGACTAAAAACGGCCCAACGAGGGGAACCAAAAGGCCAAACGGTCGCCTCAGGTTACGAACAACCGTGGGTGTTGCTGCAGGTTTTTTGGACGCCCCCCACAATCGCTTCGACCCTTTGGGCCTTGACTAAGAGGAAGAAACCGGCACCGATTGCAGTTCCCCAATTCAACGGCTAGGCTGGTAGCTGAATCCCTACAAACAATTCAAGAGTTTGCTAGTTATAGTAAGGAAAAACAAATACAAATCCGCCGACCCTCTGCCTCCCGTCCCAGCCTCCTGCAGAGGGGACTGGCGTGGGATGCAACTGGAAGTGATTGGAATCAATGATGGTCATTGCAAACCACGCCCGAAAGCACAAAAAGTGGATTCCCACCGGGCCGGTCCCAGACCAGTCCTGGGACCAGTCCTGGGACCGGTTTTGGGACTACTTGCAGAGTCCTGGGACCGGTCCCGGTCCCGGGACCAGTCCCAGGACCGGTCCTGGGACCAGTCCTGGGACTGAGGACCGGTCCTGGGACCCCGGTTTGGTGCCAGGAGCTGGTCCCGCCAGGACCGCTTTCAGGACTGGTCCAAGCCGGTTCCAGGATCGAGTCCTGGCGTGACCGCTGGTCTCGGATCCCACTTCAAACCGCTGCAGAAACCCGGTGCCACCTCAAACAGCTCCTCCAGTGTCGCTGTTACCGGACTGGCACCCGTGTTTCAGGACCGGACAGGGTCCCAAGTCCCAGTCCCTCCCTGCGACCGGCTGAGGGGCACCGACGGCCTTGTTTCTAGGACCAGCTCAACGTGACTTGGGCGCGAGCCGGCCCGTGCGGTCATTGACGGACAAGCTGCCGTCTGTCTGATTTTTCCGCTAATCCTTGTGGTAGTAGAGGATCCCTGGATCTAATCTGCAAGAGAGTCCAATACGTCGAGTCAAGCGCGCCAGACTCAGACCAGCCTGGACAGGGTCCTAAATCCCGGTCCCTGCCGGCGACCGGTCCAGGGCCACTAGGGCCACTGTCGCCGGGGCAGTTTCGGGAGGGCCAGTTTCAGGGCGACCCGGGACAGGCGACTGCTCCCGGGCCAACTCGAAGTGACTTGGGCGCAAGCCGGCCCAAGCGGCAATTAACGGACTAGCTGCCATATTTCTGACTTTTCCGTTAATCCTTGTTTGTGGTCGTAGAAAATCTTATAAGTGGTCCCTGGGTTTGCGGACGTGTTTCAGGACCGGTCCTTGTGACTTTTCCCTGAATGCGCCGAGGGTCGGCGGCAGCAGGCGGGAGCCTGGTTAATATTATTTGCAAGTCACGCCAACGCAACCAAGAAGTCAAAGAGGGGATGTCTACAAAAACATACCACTCCCGTGGTTTCATGCTTGGGAACAATTACATAGGCTACTTGGCACCCAGCCACAAACTGAGACAGGTAAGGTGTTGGCTCCCCCGTCGCACCATCTCCTTGTGGCTAGCCACAAAGGAGAAGCGCCGCCTGAGATGGTGTCGGGATCGATACGGGGACCTCCCTTCCACTAATGGAAATCGAGGGAACCGAGCAGTAGGCCTGATGTTTTTTGTTTCCCCAAAATCCACGGTGATTCATCAAAAATTAAGATCATACATGGAGCACGCTGAAGTACATTTGCTGTGAGGTTCCGGGTAAATTCATCGGAGGGCATCTTCCCCTCTCTCTCTCTGAGGGATCCGAATCACTCCGAACGACTGAGGGGAAACGGCTTTCGAATGCTTAAACATATTTGAAAAGAGGATGGCTGACATAAATGAGTGCACGCTACACCTTCTTCTCTTCGGAGCACGACTTGACTTGGCCTTCAATCCCCCCACCTTCCAATTAATCAGCCCCCCCCCCCCTCGGCTGCGTCGGCGAGCTGAAGCGCGCTGGCTCCAGGGCTCCACACGCAGCTTGCGGCGGCCTCGGTCCAGGCTCAAACCCGGCAAAACGCTCACCTGGCGACGCGTCACACGCCGCTTTCTTCTGCCAAGCCGCACGCAACTCACTTCATACGTCTGGCTGTGAATCACATCTGGCTGTTGCAAATGCATTCACACCAGCTGCCCCCGAAGCAAATAGCTGTCAGATAGCCCCAAACAGCCATCTTGCTCACTGCTCCTTCCAAATCTAGAGCATGGTGCTGCTGGAATCAGCATGCCCTGCATTACTGGATGTGACACACCTCTGCCCTTTGCTTTTCTTGCCTCTCATCTCGAAGCCTTTCTTCTCTTAACCGCTCCGTTTCAAATTTAGCCTGGTCGCGCAATGCTCCAGCTGTCTCTGCCTTCTTTGATTCTGCGTGCATCTCGGCACTCTTCCCAAGAGCATAGCCAAACCCTCCGAATGCCGCAACGGGTGCCAAATAGGGCGCCGCTAGTGCTGCGGCGCCCAAACCAACCACGGCCATGCCTGTGTAGCAAGCATACTCTTTGACTTTGCTCCATGTCTCAAACGACTCCTGCGCTTGCTGCATCTCCATCTCCTTCCGCTTCTCCTCAAAGGCTTTGTGCTCCCTCTCAAGATCTGCCACTTTCTTCTCGTAAGCTTCTTGAGAGAGCTGTCCTCGCATGTACCGGGTGTGCAGACCCTTTACTTCATCCTGAAGTTTCTCTGTTGCCTGCTGGATCTTGTCATCCACCTCCTTTCTGACCTCGCGAGCCCTTTCAAACGCCTCATTGTCGTACTTCTTGCCTGTATCTTTTGGAACCTGTGCAAGAAGCAGGTGTATGTGATCCACATCATCCTGAAGTTGCCGAGGATTCCGAGTCATATTGTCGATTTTGCCGACTCGATTATTGGCCTTCAGAATAATTTTATTCAGGACATGGTCATCGCCCAGCTTTGCCAAGTCAGCCTTCAACTTGTCTAAGGTGTCCTTGCAGTGCGTAAAGACGACGATGGCATGCTCCCACACATCAGCGCCAAAGATCTTTTCCATCTGAGCGATCGACACCAACTCCTCCTCCGTCATCCTACCCTTGCGGATGACGCAAGCCAATGCGTCAAGCCCATCAGGTGCCTGAAGAGTGAACTTTGAAATCCGCGCTGCTAGCTCGGACACGGTCAGCTTTGTATCAAAAACACCGGGTGTGTCCAAGCAAAGAAACTGCTGCCCATTGACATCAGTATACACCAGCGAGCCCACCTCACTTGTGACTGAGTCGAAATCATCATTTGCTAGAAACTTCTCCGAGGCCGACAGCGAGTTGGCAGTTGAGCTTTTGCCATGCCCGGTTTTGCCCACAAGTGCAAAAATCAGCGACGGCAGCTCGGCTGCACCCTGACTTTCCATGGCCATCTTTGGCCTACGGCACTTCTAATTTAGGGTTCTACGAGCCTTTTGAGCTGTAAACTGCCGGAATCAGACATGCAGCCACTGCTTCGCCTCTTCTTTACCCATCTTTTTGTGGGCACCTTCCAGAGCCTCTGTGTCACTCATGGAGAAGGTCGAGAATCAAACGTAAGTGAGGTCCTGAAACAGAATGCGGCAGTCCACTGGAATTATCTGTGTAGCTGATTTGTTTAACCCTACCAGCTGCACAGGCATGTTGACCCCGAATCTAAGCAAAACCGGTCCTATCTATTGGGCGGGTGTTCCCTCCAAAGCGGGTCTGAATCCCCACGCAGAGGGGCCACCCCCCAATCAAAATCAACATCCAAGGACTCATCCGAGAGACCAAAGACCAACCCTGATCGATAGCCACGGACAAAATATTGGTTAATTATTTCAATGGACAGAGACAAAATCAGGCCTCTTCCCGGTGTCTGCGAGACATTCACTGAATTCTCCATGTCCCTCCCACGCTGGCCAAGACATGTAACATCTCATCTCACAGCCCCAACAAATGGACAAGCTGGTGCATGGAGCGATCCGATTGCTCCTTGTGGTGTGGCAAAATAGATCACCGACTCCTGCTCATTGTTTGATCCATCCCTCCCCCCCCCAAAAAACAGCAGAAAAAAAGAAAAACACACACAACAAAAAAAGAAGAAGCGCCAAGCCCCATCCCGGCCGAACTTCCCCGCTGGGCTCCCCACAAGGCGCCAGCAAAGCTCGCGACTGGCCTCCATGCCAAGCTGAATTCCGAATCCCTGGAGCCCCGAAGAACTACCTGAACTCACCAATCATCTTTGGGGAACCGGGTGCAAAAAAATGGCTTCCCTGGGTTTGGAAGCAAGTTCATCAGCCAACCCTTTTCCTGTCGTTCAAGGTACTCACATGTCCAAAGGGACAAAACCAAAACATCAATAAGTAAAAACGGGATGTGCAATGGTTTCATCCACACTTCCCCCCGGAAAAAGAAAAAAGAAAGAAACTAAAAACAGAGCAAATCGTCTCCTGACATGGAACTGGAAACATCACGAGCAAAACCCAACCTTTGGAAAATGGCACTTTTGGGTTCCACTGTTGATTGGTTCTATTTACCAGGGAAACCCATCGATTATCTTTCCAATAGACCACCTATGGTCAAGGTCCCAAAAGGTGATCGCCTTTTTGTAGCCTTTTTTTCAGGTCCAAACTCAGCAAGTGAGGCTTTGAATCCGCACAAACAATGATCACAATTCTCTTCTATCAGGATTGCCAGGCAACCCCAAGAAGGGTTCCCTCAAAGAAAGACATGGTCAGAATGAACCAACTAACCATCTACTCCGCTGCGAACAGCCTGCAAATCAGCATGGAGCCCCAATCTATTTCTAACCAAACTAACCTCAAACGGACATATGACCCAGACAAATTTGACGAATGGACCAAACAAAACCGAAAGGTGAGCGCCCTTCCCGCCTGACAGGTGACGGGCAGTTCGCCTGAAAGCGGATCGCCCGCTGGTTTGAGTCGGGGGTTGCTTCAGGTTGGCTTCAAGAGAAGCCCAATTTTCGCACTGATACAGTTCCTGCCAAAATGTGTCCCTCGGTTCCCCAAATATGGGTATGTCTGTTTTTAGAGGACCCCGGACCCCCAAACGTTTGGCGTCCCAGTAAAAAGCTAGCGGAAAAGGGGGAGCCTCAAACAAACAAACCCATATGGAGGTTTCTCAAAATGGTGGACTCCTTTTGGTTGGTGAATACTTTAAGGGGAAACCAAAAGTAAGCCCAACATTCTAGGGGACCAAGGAGTCCCGTTGAGAACCACTCAAATTATCCTAAGCGAGTGTATCTTTTTCAGGCTGCCCCTTTTGGTGGGTCTCCAAGACATAGGGAAGGCTCACTCCGTGGATCTCAATGGATGAACCGCTCGCTCCTTTCAGAATAAAAACCCAAAGTCTACTTACTCAGTTGCCCAGAAGGGACCCACAAATATCAAGGTTTAACCTTTTGGAGCGATGACTAAAGATGGACCAACAAGGGGAAACCAAAAGGTGAAAAGGTCGATTCGCTTTGGGCAAGCGAGAACACTGGTAACGCATCACCAATTGCAGTTTTTGCATGTTGTTCGCATTCATGGCAAGGGGCAAAGCTTTACTTGGCTCTGACCTCACTGTACCAGGAAACAAAAGGTGATCACCTTTAGGAGTCCGGACTAAAACTAGCCCACAAGTGTGTTGCAAAAGGTGAAAAGGTCGAATCGCGTTGGACAGCTGGGAGCCGAGCTTGGAATTGAATTGGACGTGGCTCAACAAATGGCAGACAGTTACGAAAAGGCTCTCTGGAAATTGTGTCACAAGACGCCTTTACGCGCCCCAAACAAAAGAAGAAGGTGTCTTGGCCGGTTTGAATTAATGTGTTGTGTCCTTGAGGTGACCCTTCTCCTCGGTTTCAAGTGGAGCCAAAAGGACGGCGCGCCCATTTCTGTGGTCCCAATATTGACACGTCCGTTGTAAGGTCCTCCAAAGGTGCAGGCAGGGTGCGGCTAAAGTTTTCCAATTCACAGTTTCCAGTATTCCAGTCGACATGCTGTGGATGCAACAAATCCTGCACCAACTGGTGGTTCTCAACCAGTCGTGTGGGGTTATTTTAGTTATCTCAAAATAGGGGACCCTCAAATTGGGGAAAGAAGATATATCCCACTTGGCGCCTGGCATATCCGCTTGCCAAAAATGGCTCCAGCCCCATAATTATCATGTGGGAGTTGCTGTCCAAATGGGCCAGCCTTGAAAGGTTGGACCCCCCAATTGGTAGCTTTCCTTTTGGTTTCCCTTGAAACCACCCCCAAAATGGGTACCCTCAAAAAAAAAGCAAGGCCGCAAAAATGTTAAAGGGACACTAGCATTCAATCTGGGCAAAGCCAAGATATAATACTCCCAAACTGGACAATCTTATATTTTTATCCTGCCCTTCCAGGAAAGGACCTCCATCGGTAAGCTCCTTGAAATTTGGCCAGATCCCACCCGACAAACGCTCGCTTGTCTCTCGGCGCCGCTCCTGGGCCCATGTCAGGCACCATCCTGGAGCCATTTGGCGCTGAGACGTTGGGGCGGATCTATCGGATGTGGTTCTGGGACAGGGTTGACTCACCGAGTGCCAGAAGCCATTTTTGCGACTCCGCCCTGCAAACCATAGGTGGGCGCTAGAAAGGCCAACTCCTCTTGAAGTTAAGGGCCGGGGTTCAAGGGCAAAACCCCACTCCAAACTTAACCCTGTGGCAACTTTCAAAAATAACAACGCAAATGATTCAATCTGCAAAACACAGGGCTAGCAGGGCTCTACAGGACCTGGCACGATGCTTTGGGTCTGCGATTTCCTGTCAGTGGCCTCCTTTTCTTGCATCGACTTCAAGCGGCGTTCACCTTCAAGACGTGTTTCTTGAGAGCGCACCGTTTTGCATCCCCCAGTTGTTCAGGGCAGATGTTTGACATTGGTTCATTTCGGCCATATCTCTCTTTGAGGGTACTCATTTTGGGGTTGCTTCAAGGGGCAACCAAGGAGAAACGCCCCGCGAGTAACAAAAAAGAATCGGACGCCTTTTCGGGGCTAGCCATGTGTAGTGGGGAACCCACCAAACCAAAAGGGAAATTGGGTGAACAACAGGGGTCCAGTCGAGCTGCCAAAGTCAACACGACTGGAAGCCGACCTCAATTCATGCAAGTGAAACTCAGCCATCGTATTCGCCCTCCTCCTCATCGAATTCACCTTCCTCCTCCGCTGTGGCATCCTGATACTGCTGGTACTCAGAGACCAGGTCGTTCATGTTAGACTCGGCCTCCGTGAACTCCATCTCATCCATACCCTCTCCGGTGTACCAGTGCAGGAACGCCTTGCGGCGGAACATGGCAGTGAAGTACTCGGCCACCCTCTTGAACATCTCCTGCAGCAATGGACAAGGCTCTTTCAACAATATTCGAAGAGTTGTTTAGACAACTTTGTATACGGGCCTGGCTCTGGCCTCACAAAAACACTAACATGTCAGTTTCGCTTTGAAGGAGTGCCAGGGTCTGGCTATTGGCAACAATTTGTGCAACAAACCCGGCCTGAATGGCTGTGGAGTTGCCGGCAAAGGCGACAGCCATCTTCAAGCCCTTCGGCGGGATGTCGCACACCGAAGCCTTGATGTTGTTCGGGATCCATTCCACAAAATAGGACGAGTTCCTCGCACCGGGCAACAGCAGTTGCCAAACGAATCTGGATCTCACAATCCCACCTCCGCCTGCTCAAAATGACGACCCTATGAACATGTCATGCAGAGAAACAAGATTGCAAGGGCGACCATAGGACCTGCCCAGACAGGTTTTGGAAAGCATGTCCCAATACCCAGCTTCACGCAAGCGACTCGTTTTCTGGGATCAAAACCTGCTTGTGGAGCCGACAATTGGGTATGCTTGAGACTACCCCTTGTTGCGGACAGAAGGGACACTAGTTGGGAACCCACTGGGATTCTCTGAGAAACAACACCCCATCATTGGACTCTTCCTGGATGACATGAGTGTCAATCGAATCACCAACCATTGAGCTCCACAGTCTCATCCTAAATGGCAGGGGTTTGCGAGCCAAGGCACTTGTTCTGCACGTTGAGCATCTGTTCCTGAAGTTGACCCCATATCATGCGACAAATTGCGTTAAATTAGCAGGACATAGACATTGCCCACAAACTCAACGGTCAAACACTTGAGTGAGCAGCCAAGATTCATCCACTTCCTTTGTAGACATGCGGCCTCGGAACAGTGCTGCGGCCGTCAAGTATCGCCCGTGACGAGGATCTGCCGCGCACATCATGTTCTTGGCGTCAAACATCTGCTGCGTCAGCTCGGGCACGGTCAGAGCTCGGTACTGTTGCGAGCCGCGGGAGGTCAATGGGGCAAAGCCCGTCATGAAGAAGTGCAAGCGCGGGAACGGCACGAGGTTCACCGCGATCTTGCGCAGGTCGCAGTTCAGCTGTCCTCGGTTGCTTTCTGCTCCCCTGCTAAAAGTTTAACTTTTAGTGGTTTTGTGAAAAACCCAGTAGTTGGCAAAAAGTTAAAGTCCTAACATCCAAGCAAAATGCACCAAAGTGTCCTGGGAAGCGCAGGCAGCACGTCACCCCGCTCATGGCTGCCGAGACGAGGTGGTTCAGGTCACCGTAGGTCGGCGTCGTCAGCTTCAGCGTGCGGAAGCAAATGTCGTACAATGCCTGTAGGGAGGACGGCAGAATGCGAACCGCAAGCTGTTTGCTTGACCCCAAATGGGTTGCAACGAACGATTGCAAGGACGCTACTCACACTGTTGTCCTTTTTGTGCGAGCTCGAACCGGTTGATTAGAACCTGTTTAGGGTCCCCCGAGTTCTCTTATGAGAAAGAAAGCAATGTCTGGAAGACGCCAGGAAACCATTAATCAGTCTGAGCTCTTGTGTTGTTTCCAAATGAGCTGCGATACTGCCTTTTTTTTCCAACCTAATTCAAAAGGTCTTGTATCGCTTTGTCTTTGACCTCCCCCCCAAAAAAAACAACCACACACACAAAAACAACAACGCATGCTCAGCTTCCATTTGTTTCGCCCCTGTGTGAACCAAACCGGGGGTTCCCCAAAAAGGAACACACAAACACACAGACCCATGGCATTTCTATCATCAGAGAGTGGGCGACGCCTCGTTGTCCAGCAGGAAGGACTCGTCCGAGTTCTCCACCAGCTGGTGGAAGCTCAACACGGCGTTGTATGGCTCCACGACTGTGTCGGACACCTTTGGAGAAGGAATCACGGAGAAGGTCCTTAGGACATGGACTCAACAGGTCAACTTTGCAAGGAGTTTTTTGTTGTTTTTTGTTGTTTTGGTTTTTGTTAAAACAAAAACAAAAAACAAAAAACACTTACTCTATGTCATGTGGACGTTTGACCAACCATTTCCGGAAACTCGCAGTGAAAAGCTGGATCAAGGACATAGGTGTCCTGTTGGACAAATCGATGGAGTTTTCCTGGTAAATGGAACACAACCCCTCCAAAGCAGTGGAACCGATCTAGTTCTAACCAAAGCAACCTTATATTTCTAATCAAGCCAACCTAAAAAGGCTAACCATGATTGCAAGCGTCTCCATGATTCGATCCGGGTATTCTTCACGAACCTTGGAGATCAACAAGGTGCCCATCCCCGCGCCGGTGCCGCCGCCCAGCGAATGGCAGAGCTGAAAGCCCTGCAGGCAATCGCAGCCCTCGGCCTCCTTGCGGACAACGTCCAGGACCGAGTCGATCAACTCGGCGCCTTCCGTATAGTGGCCCTTCGCCTCAGTTGCCGGAAAACAACCTGGTGGGTCAAACATGGTACCGTCATGGAAGAGTCAATAGTTCCGGGGCAAGATCCGGTTGAAACTACCCCTTAAGGAAAGACAACAAATCAGAGTATGTAGCCCTAAATCAGGCTTAACTTTTTGCCTGTCATATTTCTTCTTTGGGGTTTGGTCTGTGGCCCGGTCAGTGTGGGGGAAGTCTTTGATTGACCAAAGGTTCGGAAAAAAAAGGACAAAAACAGAAAAGACAAAAACAGCTAAAACAACAGGTTGCAAAGTGGGGGTTGATCGAGAGTCCTGGCCCCAAATGACCATGGGCAACCATGATGTGGTTGAAAGATCAAATCATTTTAGTGGATTCCCAATGGTCATCCTATCTTCATGGGAGCTTTTGATCAACTCGGTCGTTAGTTGGGGAAGTCTTTGATTCAAAAGTGGCAAAACACAAAAAATGATAAACCAAAAGGTTGCAAAGTCCATTTGCTTCGCTTAAGTGGCCCAGTTGTTTCCGGCCCCGGTCTGTCCGAAGACAAAGTTGTCCGGCCGGAAGAGCTGACCGAAGGGCCCGGCTCGCACGCTGTCCATGGTTCCAGGTTCCTCGGCTGCAATTGGCTCGTCTTTTTGTTAAGGGGACCCCTTGGCTTTGTGGCTTTGAAGGGAAACCAAAAGGAACACCTCAACTTGGGAAGGTCCCCGAAGAAGAAAACAAAGACACCACCACCGAAGAGATATCATCATGATTGTTCTTAGTATCAATACACATTATAATAATTCATCCAACCTGCCTGGGGGGTTGAGGGGAGCAGTTGCCTCACTTCTCACTACTGGCTGCTCCAACTTATCCTTGATCAAGCCTTGATGACTGATCAAGCCTTGATGAAGCCGTGCCTCAAAGCAGTTTCTAGACGCACTAAAAAAAGTCTTGTGAACAATCGGGAGCGTGCAGATGATACCGCATATAAGCCATGGCCAAAATAAGCCGAAGAGGACATGGGGAAACTTAATGACTCTACCGGATGTGTGTGGGACATTTCGTGAGTCCTGCATGTCCCTCCCAAATGGACTATACACAACCACAAACTTTTGGACCAAACCTCACACGGGTCTGGCTCAAAATCAAAGGCTTTAGTCTTTGGGTCCATTTACCAAGGTGCCACTTTGGTGGTTTTCTTTGAGCCACTATAGTTTCAAGATCGCGAGAAACCTAGGGGTCCAGAGTGCGCTCAATCCGTCTGGGTGAGCTATAACATCTATAGATTTCGACCTTGTGTGTAGTCCGTTGCTAATACGTGCTCATACCTGATACCTACCATTTAACTAATATGGGGTTGTTCTTTTGATTCGGGAACCCTCTGTCGGTTCGTTTTAAAGGCAACGCATAAGGGAAACCAGTATTTGGCGGTCTCTCAAAAAATGGACCCACCCCTGCGGAAGTTTTGCGTAACTTCCTCGTGCAGTTCACATGTTAGCCAAGGGGCACCAGTTCCCAGAAAATTCAACGGATGTTGGTTAGGTTTCATCTTAAAAGCAAATGGGTGTCTTAAAATTGGGGACCCCCCAACATCTTTCGTTTGCTGTCGGTTTCCCTTCAACACAGCCCCAAAAACGTGTACCATCACAACAAAGGACGCTCTTTTTTGAGGGTACCAGTACGTATACCGTATACCCCTTGTTGGATGGTTGGATGAAAGCCAAAGGGAAAGCAACCACTGTGGGGGTCCGAAAACACACACAGACACACAGACACACACACACACAGAGACACAGAGACACAGAGACACGGAGACACGCAGACACACACAGGCACACAGGCACACAGACACACAGGCACACAGGCACACAGGCACACAGGCACACAGGCACACAGACACACAGACACACACACAGGAACACAGGCACACAGGCACACAGACACACAGGCACACAGACACACAGACACACAGACACACAGACACACAGGCACACAGGCACACAGGCACACTGGCACACAGACACACAGACACACAGACACACAGGCACACAGGCACACAGGCACACAGGCACACAGACACACAGACACACAGACACACAGACACACAGGCACACAGGCACACAGGCACACACACACACACACACACACACACACACACACAGGCACACAGACACACAGACACACACACACAGACACACAGACACACACACACACACACACACACACACACACACACACACACACACACACACACACACACACACACACACACACACACACACACACACACACACACACACACACACACACACACACACACACACACACACACACACACACACACACGGGGTCCAAAAAAAAGAAAATAACAACAAAAAAAGACGCGCCCAAATGCGCCGATGGTATCCTTTGCAAGGCTCCAGGTCCATCAGCACGGCACGGGGCACGTAGCGGCCACCCGTGGCCTCGTTGAAGTAGACGTTGATCCTTGGATCCAAAGTGAGGGCTACGGTTTCTTGGGGTTCAATCTTCGGAGACCGCTTCGATAAGCAGGGCCGGGGGTGGGGGGCCCCGCGCCCCAAAACGACAAACCCCCCCCTACCCCCTTTCGAAGGGATATGAATCTAGGTTGTCGCCAGGATAAGATCCAAGGCAAGCCCCTCTCAAGTAAAACGGGGGTTCACAGCGGTTGCTGTCGATTTTTTGGGGGTGGCTTCTTTTAAGTTGGTGCCGTTATTGGGTGCAGTTTGTGGGTCTGTTTTACAGTGAGACGAATAGTGTGTACGTGTGTAAGTGCATTTGGTTTAGCCCGTGAAAGAATAAGATGGTTTCAAGTACCCCTACCCCACCTCCAGGTAACGAGGGCTAGAAACAGAACAGGGACAGGGTTTGCGTGTTGCCAATTGGTGGAGTACGGGTTGGCTACCTTCAGCATTTGGAATCAAAAGGAGAGCCGTCCATAAAGCGCAGTCCGTCTCGTAGACTGATTTGCAGCCAAAGGGGGAGCTGTTGCTGTTGAGTCGCTTTGGCAAGTCAGTAGGAAATCGCAATTACTTTCCCGAGGTTGACGACCATCCGGGGTCACAGGAAGTCCCTTTCACAAGTTGCAATTTGCTGGTGTTTTCTATTGAAACTGCCACTTTTGGAGGTTGCAAAAAGGGAAATGGAGGAACCCCTGAAGTAAAGCGGGTGGTTTGACCCTGTCACACCTAGCTCTTATTCCATCGGGGGGGGAATCGCGGACCTCGTTTGGCCGGTTGCACCCTACATTTCTCCAACCCAAACATCAAGAAGACTCAGATCGAATTGATCCAACCTACCGTGCGATGATCATGGTTCGAGCGTGTTGTTCGCCACCCGAAGGGCCACTAAGCGATGTTTAACCCACCCGAAACAAGATACCCAGTTGCGAGTGGCTTATCCCAGTCAAGGGTTTGAAGCCAAAAGGAAAAACCGTTGCGCCATGGTTGGGGAAATCTAGTGTGGTCTACTCTGACAAGGACAGGGGTCACTGGATATCCCCTTCAAAAGTTCCATTCAATTACTGGCGGTGTCCATGGAAACGATCGCCGCTTTTTAGGAGGTTCCGTGACTCGGAAACCCTGCAGTACCCCAGTTTCACCTCTGGTCTTCGGCCGTCACCTGGAATTCAGCCTCATATTTTTGGCTCTGCTCGTCACCTCTAGCTGAGGCACCGTTCCAGCTGCAGGTCTGAATCTCCGTGGTAGGTGCCTGACAAGCCGCGAGGGTCAAGGGCCCCCCTCAAAACCAACGCGTGAGCCTGATTTTCTTCTTTTTTCTTCGAGGGTAGCCCGTTGAAGGATGGATTTTAAAGGGAAGCCTAGAGGAAAACCATCCTTTTAGGGGGGGGTCCCCCTAAAAAAACAAAAAACACAAATAGGATTCTACCATTGGCCCTCTTTTGAGTCGGGGCAAAGATTGTAAGATATTACCAAACATGAAGGCCAAACTTCGAGGCTAACAGGACAGTCCTCTTTGAAAAAATGGTTCCCTGTCCACTTCCGTGCTTGCAAAGAGGGTCAGAGCTTTGGAAACAAACTTTACTCCTCGACAAGGTCATTCCCAAATATATGTATATATATATATATGTATATATATATATATGAACTTCAGACTATACCCGGTAACTTCCCAAGCTTTTGCCCCATCAAATGACACGTTTAGATCCTGGCCCAGAATCAGCGAACCTGACGTAAAGTGATATCACTCGCCCTTGAAAGAAACGTGGGGCCCATGTCCTTAGGTCAAACTCTTCACTTCCTGCGTGGACTGGCCAAGAAAAAGTCCAAACTGTTTCTTCGCCACTAAAATGGCCCAAACCCAAAAAGTGACTAAAGTCCAGCAACTCAGGAAGACTCAGGGAGCGGAAAACGCAAACGCGAATCCGCCTGTGGGATCGATGCCATGCTCATCCGCAATCACCTCCCAGAACTTGGCACCAATCTGATTGCCGCACCTCAGTCGAGACTGGGATGCTCCATCTACGTAAATCTCAATCCCAAATATGACAATGAAAACAGCATGGATGCTAAAAGGACACCAAACGCAAACCCACCATCTTCAGGGTTAACCAAACTTTTTGCTAACCACTGAAATGGTCTAAGCCCAAAAGGTTTTAAGTCCAGGAATTCAGGGGGTGAGCAATAGAACACACCGATTCTATGGGTGTCTCTTGTTTTAGGTTAGGCCCTAACTGGATTTTGGTATTCCCTTTGGTGTCCCTTGAAACCAAACCAAAAACAGGTACCCGAAAAGAAAAATCTAAACACACACACACACACACACGCACACACATAGACAGCAACCACTCTTGGGTGAGAGAGGGCTGGCTTGTACCTTGTTAGACCTTGTTGCATGCTTACTAAGATTGAACATCCAAACAGGCATCATGGAAGTGGACAAGGGGCTTTTCAAGAAAATTGTAATCATTAACAAAAACAACCCGGCGGACCGAAAACCGCGCTCGCGTTTTGCCGCTTCTCTGAAAAACTTGCGTTTCACCTCAGCGAAACGCTCATTGAGTCCCCAAAAAAACTCCAAAAAAGAGGGCTCAGTTTTAGGGCATTTTGCATTTCCCTGAGGCGAAACGCAAATTGTATCGCCCATTCCCTGCCTTCTCCTTTCTAACATCTTTGCGATCGCAACGACAGTCTGCTGCTCCACATCTCGCTGGCGCAAGATTTAGCGCCACTGCCAAGACTTTACATACAAAAGGACATGTGGGGCGCATGAAGGCAGCGAATTCCGGACATATGCTCTGCAGCTTGACCAGATAGAGTCTATCATGCCAGTATGGCAGACAACCTTTTCGCGTCCGCGAAGAATATCTTGGACAAACTCTCCCTTCCTGCGATTAGCTGATTCAGTGTGCGCGCAGTGCTATAACGAAGCAGTCGAGCGGGTGTGCTTCCATGGTCAGGCGTGCGCGCCGTGTTACAACGAAGCGGTCGAGCGGTGCGCGCAGCGCTAAAACGAAGCAGTCGAGCGGGTGTTCCCATGGTCAGGCGTGCGCGCAGTGCTATAACGAAGCAGTCGAGTGGGTATGCTTACATTGGTCAGGAGTGCGCTCAGTGTTAAAACGAAGCAGTCGAGCGGGTGTGCTTCCCATGGTCAGGCGCGCGCGCAGTTCTATAACAAAGCCGTTAAGCGGGTGTGCTTACCATGGTCAGGCGTGCGCGCAGTGCTAAAACGAAGCAGTCGAGCGGGTGGGCTTCCCATGGTCAGGCGCGCGCGCAGTTCTATAACGAAGCCGTTAAGCGGGTGTGCTTACCATGGTCAGGCGTGCGCGCAGTGCTAAAACGAAGCAGTCGAGAGGGTGTGCTTCCCATGGTCAGGCGCGCGCGCAGTTCTATAACGAAGCCGTTAAGCGGGTGTGCTTACCATGGTCAGGCGTGCGCGCAGTGCTAAAACGAAGCAGTCGGGCGGGCGTGCTTACCATGGTCAGGCGTGCGCGCAGTGCTAGAACAAAGCAGTCGGGTGTGCTTACCATGGTCAGGTGTGCGCGCAGTGCTAAAACGAAGCAGTCGAGCGGGTGTGCTTCCCATGGTCAGGCGTGCGCGGAGTGCTTTCACCAAGGTCAGGCGTGTGCGCAGTGCTAGAACAAAGCAGTCGGGCGGGTGTCCTTACCATGGTCAGGCGTGCGCGCAGTGCCAGGGCGAAGCAGTCGAGCGGGCATGCTATGCAGGGCTACTGCAAAACAGTGCACGCTGTTAAGCGCGGTTTCTGGTGCGCTGGCAAAAACAAGTTATTGTTCATGATTGTTGGAACCAAAACGTCAGAATGTAAAATCAGCGGATCAATATACCTCTGCTTGGTTTATGAGGGGAGTGCGAGCATCTGTCTGCTGTTGAGACAGCTTGGACGGTCTTCCCTGGCCGCGAGGACCTGGAAAAACTCACGGTGACCACCCTTATCTGACACTCACTTCCTGAGTGAGTTGGCCAAACAAAGTCCAACTTGTTTTTTCAATTTCCTATGAAATTGGCCTTCCGGCGCGTCTCCAAGCCGAGCTTTGAACCATCCAGCGCAGTATGTTTGTTTCTGGCAAGCATATGTGACTTTGGTGAAGCTCAGATTGAACCATCCTTTCAGACAAATCCCGAATACGCAGAGAAAACAAATCGGGAGGTCCATGTTCTGCTCATGGAGCCAACCGCAGTCAGGTACCTCAAACGGAATATATCCGTCCGTCTGTCTTTGGAGTAGCCTTTCAGGTTTGGTTCAAGGGGGAATCCACTGGAAACAACTACCATTTTGGGGGTAGGCTTGGGCCCATGTTTTGTCCTCACTCCCTAGTTGGACTTTGATATACTTGTGAAAACATCGTCCCTCACAGGTCAAGGAGGGGTCGGAAGTCGGAGGTGCCGTCCAGGGTGGTCCAAGAAGGGCTTCTCCGAGGCTAAGGAACCGTTTCGGGAACCCCTTTCGGCAACAGCTAACCCTTTTTGGGCCTCTGGTAAAAAGGAGGGGGGTCCAAAACCGGCGAGCTGCTTGCAGGTGAAGATTAATGCTGCAAGCCTTGTACATGTGTGGAGTTTGTTCAGAGTAATTACTATTTTGGGGATGGTTTAAAGGCAATCAATAGGAAATCACCTGTTTGGAGGGTCTCCCTATTTTCACACATACCCAGTGTGTGTTTTTGCCCAGGCATCTCTGCTCAGTAGTGGCCATTGCAAAAAAAGTGCAGGCTCGGGTGCTGGTCGCAGGGGCACGACCAGGTCCAAGTGAAGAACAAGGAAACAGGGAGAAGGCTTGCATACCGCCAAGGACAAAGGACTAAAGACTCTTGCTGGGTCGGTATTTGAAGATTGATTAGACTGGTTCAAACGGAAGCCAAAAGGAAGCCACTCATTTGGGGGGCTCGCCTAATTTTGAGACAAACCCAAATGGTGGCAAAGGCACTGTCCACCCTGCACGTGCACGAGCTCACGCATCTTTGCAAAAGCTGCGAGTTGCGAAGACGAAGCTGCGAAGCGCTTGAGCCGAGGCTGGCGGCAAAGTGTCGCCATTTGGTCGCTTGCAGCATGCGGTCTTCCTTTGATCTTGCGTGATTTTGGGATCCGAAAGGGCCTATCGCCTTGCCAGATGGTCATGGTGATTCTTCCAGCCCTTGGAAGATGACATTTCATCAAAACTGCTAATCAAGGGACATTGCTTTAAGGGCCCAATAGAATGCGGCAGAGTGCTTCAAAACCGATTCAAAAACATGATCAATGAGTAGATAATGTGCAAAAGATAAAACATCGACAAGAACCAAGGGTGGAATTATTTAGGCCCTCACATTACCCTTCTGTTTGACAGGGGTCATATCAGAGGTTGCAGTTTCCTGTTAGTTGCCATTGAAACTGCCACTTTTGAAGGTTCCAACAAGGCGAAATGCGAACCCCTGTTTGAGTAAGTCCCTGAATATATGCGTGTTTGGAGTCTATCTGGCCATTGGAGAAGGATGATCTGTCGATTTCCGAGGCTGGCCTCATCTCCTTCCCATTCTGAAAACCAGAAATTAGCTTGGCCAAAGGCCTCGTGAAATGGAACCCTGGAAACATGGGCAAACACCAAACAAACACGGGCCAAATCCCAACCAACATGGGCCAAGGCCCTGGAGAAATCGGATGCCTGAGAATGAAGGAGGATCCATCCTCCATAATCCGTGGCCACAACGGCATAAGAATCTTGCGGATCGAGTAACCTGATTTCAGCGGCTTCCAAGATCTTCCAAGAGCACACGGCAAAATGTGGAAAACGCAACGTGAGTCCGCTGGCTTGCGTTCGCATCGCCGCGACACGCTTGTCACCACTGTGTGCATGTGAGCAGAAAGCGAATCGTTTGGTTGGTTCCGACTTACCACAAACAGATTTGCACAAAACATATACAAAAGTCAATGCAACCAACAACAAAGGAGTTTCGAGAAGCGCACCGTTTGAGGATAAATAAAGCAACCTGGCAACCAACTATAGTACCCAGGGGCCAGGCGTACGGCGCCGCGCGTGCTGCGCATGCCGCGCATGGCGCGCCCTGCGCATGCTCCCCCCACACCCTTTTTGGCCACCCTGTCCGACCGCTTAGTGACACGGGTAAGATAAGGGTGTACTGCAAGATAATGGTAAAGGGTCGGAGTTGGCAAACGCCTTTTATCATGAGGCTAAGGCTACGGGTGAGCATTTATGATAAGATAATGGCGAAAGGGTCGAACATTGGCAAACGGCCCTTTACCATACAGAAAGTGCAGCTTGTGACAGGCCTGCTTCAAGTCTGGCAACAATTTAGGGCCCTCACAAAAGTGACGCTGGATTCCTGTTGGAGTTTCTCTCTCAAAGGCTTCGACAAGAATAAAAGCATCCTTGGGCGATACGGGGATACGGGTTTGTTTGGGCATGCTGAAACTGAAGCAACCATTGGTTGTTTCAACGGCCAGATTGTCTTAAAGGACAAAGACCAGTCGGATTTGAAGACCCAGCAGTACGAGTTGCCAGTTTCTTGCGGCGCCGCCTTTTTCACACGATCTTTGGACCATTGGCGAGTGCTGCGAGCTCGTGGCGTTTTTCCGTGACGACCTGCCACATGGCCTCACCTTTGCTTTATGAGTCAACAAGTGAGCGCACGAACCCCCCCAAACAAACCATGTAGCAAGTGTTCTGCTACTTGGTGTCATGGGGGGTTGCCTATGCAAACCAGTATAGCCATCTTGGCAGAAATATCCAGCCCCACAGGAACAGAACCCCCATTGCACCCACAAAGGGGACGTGGGCTGTATGCGGAAACGCCCTCTACTTTCCGTGACATGAAGACGCTTTCATTTGACAGCACCAACCCCAAGAAGGATACCCCCAAAGACTCACTTCCTCAGTGGATTGGCCGAAAAAGTCCTCTCTTCTTTGCCACTAAAAATGGTCTAAACTCAAAAAGTGAATAAAGTCCGAAACGGAACCATATCTTCTTTGTTGCCACTAAAATGGTCTAACCTCAAAAGTGACTAATCATAAAGTCCAGGAACTCAGGATGTGAGGAAAAGGTGGGTGACACTCGCGCCACCCCCGACATTTCCCCGCGTCGGGGCCCTCGCCTGCGGGCCCCAGCCGCTGGCAGTCCGGACTTAAGAGAGCCACGGCTCTCCAATTGGGAGTTTCCATGTCCTTTTTTCGCCCCAGGGAAAAAAATCAGGAAACATATGTCCAATGGTGATAGGCTCCTTTTAATACAGAAACAAAAAACAACATGAAACCTATTCTTAAGAAAATGGAAGCTTTGGAGCGCCGAATCGGCTGTTGGTTGAGGAGTGGATTCCCCTTTTCCCTCTAAGCCAGGGACTTCATTCCAAATCCAAACCAATCCAAACCACCAATCGGGGGAACCTGAAGGACAGGGGCGAATGTGAGTTTACCCTCCAGGGCTTGGGAATGTTCGGGCTTGTGCCCTGGTTTTTGCAGGGAAATTTCGAGCTCCGTGTCCCTCCACAATGGATCATAGACTGGCAATTCCGGTATCCGGGACCTTTCATGAGGGTAGGGCTTGAAGGGGGGTTGGACCTTTGCCCGCACCCCGGTTTTACGCTTCCCAACTGATATCTCAGCGAGCTGAATACTCTTACCCCCACAAATGAAACGAAAACACACATACATGGATGCCCGTAAACGGCCACTGCACAAAACGAAACCTCAATGCGTCTTTCCCGCAGCCAAGCTTAAACAAGATAACTCAGCAAAGGCCATTGGTGGTGTCATGGCAAAGGGGTGTCCGTTTGAAAAATACCAATACAAAGTCCTTCAGCGACATTTGTCATTGTAGCATTGTGAGATGTTTGCCCTGGAGAAACTGCCTGGACAAAAAACGAAAAAAGGGGGGGGGTGACACGCAAATGTTTGTAAGTACCCATGTGTCACAGTGTAATCAAAACAATAGACAAGTGAATCAAAGCGTGAACAGGAGCACCCAATGGCAATCATAGCAATAAAGCTCGAACACGTGCTATTTCCATAGCTGAATCAACATTGCATCGTTCAACATGCGAAGAGAAGCTCGCTTTACATTGGCAAAAGGAAAGGTGAGCTTTGAAACCAGGGAGATCTGAGAATCCACGCAAGTCACGACAGAGTGGCACTTCTCCCGACTACCATCCCTGGTACATGGAAACCTCCCGTGGGCCATGGCGACCCTTTGTCATAGATAGATAACCAAATCCTGCTCATTTGCGATCCGTCCAACCAAAACCAGCCAACCAGTAAAGGGTTGCTGATGGTTCTTGCGTGCTTTCAGTCTTCGGGTAAGTCAGAATTGCTTGAGGTTTCTCCAGGAGTAGATGATATCAATGGCAAGTGTCCCCTTCCACCCCGAAGATCTTGAAACTTCAAAAGGGCCTTGATTGAGGTCTGAGTCCCTGCAACGCAGGTCCTAACAAGGCTCCAATGCGAAGCGTTCAGAAAGCAGCTTCCCTTGGGTCCAGGATCTCGTGATCTCGTGACTTCACGAAGTCTTCACAGGCTTCCCAGCCCAAATCCCCCTGCCTCAGCCCAAACGAACGCATGGAGCTGAAGGCCCTGTATCGTTCCAACCCCTGGTGCAGTACATAAACAACACACGTTGGCCATTAGTAGCCACCGAACAACACAAATCGGAACGGAAGTCAAGAAGCAAACTAACAAAAACGTGCCATGCGCATTCTGCACATGAAGTTATCCTGTGAACTGCGCAGGAAATCATTGTCTGGATTGGCGACTAAAAGTCGGAACTTCTTGTTAACCATTGAAATGGTCTTCCACCCCCGCACCCACACCCGCCCACACACAAACAAACACAAAAAACAAAACAAACCAAATCCAGAACCAGTGGAAGTGACAACCCGTGGATGCCAGCCGTATGTCTCACCTTTCGAGGCGAAGCGCCGCATGGCTCAGGTCGTGTCTGCCTGTCTGATGCAGGCAACGACTCTCGCAGCATTGGCAGGTTGGCCAATGAATTCCAAGATACACGAGCTACCGAGGCTCCCGGTTGCCATCAATGGGTTTCAAGTTGGCCTCTCCGTGGCTGCTTCGACTGGCTGCCTGTGGTAACTGGAAGCCCTGGATAAAGGGAACTCTCCTGCAGATTGACACGGAACTCCAAAAATCGCAACATGCCGTCATCGCCGGAATGGGCGTGTGGAAGGACTAGATGCATCATCTAAAAAATAATTACAGGCCATGTTCGTTTGCACAAGGAATCTCCAAGCACAGAAACCAAGTAGGGCCCCCCAAAGGAGACTCGAAACTTGACGCCTTCTTTGGGGCTCCATGTCAGTCTGCAGAGAAATTCGCGGCCGTTCTTCCGGCCATTTCACACCTGAATCTCCGCAACTGAGAAGCTCGAGTTCATAGTATATATATATGTATAAATATGTATTTATATATTAATATATATTATCGTGGATCCAGCACTCTAGGCGTGTGGGAAGGTACCTGTCCAGCCTTCAGCTGCAACACTGTACCCCCCCCCCCCCCCCGCACAAGGAAAACACGAAAGAAATGAATCCGAGACGCCTTCCGCCTTCTATGGTCGAACTGACCCCTGAAAGAATATGGGGGAAACTCGCTAGGCAGTTCGCGATAAGTTGTGGTCACAAGCTTCCAGGTCAAACCAAAGAGCAACCACATGTCATGTATCGTATAGTCCATGCGTTATTCAAAGAAAACAAAGATGTGCTCGGGGATGTATCAAATCTGGCTATTGCCATCTTTCAATCCCAAGGCATCTTTTGGGACTGTGCGGCGGCAGCCAATTGTTGGAACCAAACCAACTGCAAAGCACACCCAATGAGAAAGTTCTGCCAATCCAAAGAGAACATGCGAGGCTTCTGCAGTTGCAGGCAATGCATTCGGCAGCCGTCCGCAGCCCAGCCCATCTTTGGTGTGGACAAATTTTCATGCGGGCGGCAGGACTCCGAAGACCCCAGGCTAGAAAAGGAGACCAAAGTTGTTGTTGACCCCTCTGCAAGACATTTTGCACTTTCTGTGGGTCCCCTCAGGAAAAGTCAAAGTCTGTAAAGAAAGGAGTCTCATACTAGTTGT